GCATGGATTCTACATCAACATCTGGGAGAATCGATCCCAATGGGTGGTGCAAGGGATGCCGGAGACGAGACCGATGGGCTACCACGATGGGTACATGCAGTGGTATCGGAAGTTCACCCTGAGATGGGTGTCAAAGCAAGGTGCTGTGATGGGTTCGGTGGTAAGTCATCCTAATCTCCCTCATTCTAAAATATATTTATTTTAATGTTTAGTTAATTTGATATATTTTGTGCTTTCCTTAGGTTGATGGTTTGGAACACGCGAAGTACACTCTCGAAAGTGCTCCAACCATGGATGAGCGGAAGACTACTTGGTTGACCCGACTTATGAATAACCTCCTGAGTTGCACCAGAGAGCAAAGGAGGGATGTCGTGGCCTATCCTCCCGTTCCTGCCCCGGCACGACCCTCATTCCGTGATGATGCAACCATTGTGCCCCCGGTTGAGCCCCCACGAAGGAGCAAACGCAGGCCTTTGCCTACGTTCGAAGAGGTGCGTACCACTCAAGCAACCGAGCTCCCCGAACCGTTCGAGTACCAGTGGGCACCTGCAGCGGATGCCGGTGGAGGGTCATCGAGTCATGGAGGATCTCAGGAATGGGACACTTTCTCTCATGGGTTCTCTCAATTCCAACATCAGCAACAAAGTTCGATGTTTCAGACCCCGCAACAACAAACTCCGATCATTCGTCAAGCTACCGCTCCAACTCAGCCACCACCACCACCATATGTAACCCCAGTTGGGGCTCGGTTCAAGAGAAATCCGCGACCAGCCGTTGAGCGAGCCCGCCAAGAAGCAGCGGCGGAGGGGGGAAGAAGGGGTCGAGGACGTCGTGGAGGACGAGGAGGAAGAGGTGGAGATGGGGGCCAAAATGAAGCAAATGAGTGAGTTTATCGTTTTATCATTGTATTGAACTATCAATGTTGTTTTTGTGATTTTTAGGTGTTGTTATTTGAGTTTGCATTGTCTAAAAACTATCCTACGCACTTAAGTTGTCGAATGAATTTTCTGGATCATTTTATCAAGAATCAGTATCTTCCCTCAACACAAAAAAGTTGGGAAAATCAACCACGATCGCATAGAATTTAACAGATCCCAATTCCGAGTGCAAACGAGTGAGATAAGTGACGTCAAAGCGTGATCGTATCGTTAAAGTAACTTTTGCGTACTATAAACTAAAACGCCCGTATCTTATTCGTTTGAGGTCGAAATAACGAGCCGTTTGCGGCCGCGCGATCGTATCGACAAGGAAAACATTTTAGATTTAACAAAATACTTGGACTTCAAATGCAAACGGTAATGACAAATTAAACAAGCGATCAATTTAGTAGCAGAATACAAGTAAATGCAAATTAAGTTGATGGTTGTCCTGGGCAACGCCTCTTGTCGTGACCAGGTTGTCTGCACTTAGAGCATCGCTTCGGTCCCCTTCTCGTCCGTTCAACTTGGTCCATCTCATTGTGTATCCTTTCAACTCTAGGACGGCCTTTGGTGCGTTTTAGGTGCAACGGTGGGATAATCAACTTTCCAGCGTATATAGGCCAATACGCTTCATCTGGCATGGGGCTCAAAGCTGCATTATATGAGTTCCTTATCGCTTGTTCAGTGTAGTAAGGACTCACCAGGCTGTTTCTGTTCATGGTTATTGACTTAGCAACCGCCATTGCATGTGAACAGGGTATCCTTTCGTTCTGATACTTTTGACAAGAACACTCCCCTAATTCGTAGTGCAATTTGACCGTTTGACGATTGTGACCACGTCTCCCTCCACCCCATAGACCTGTTTCGACAGCGAATATTCCTTCACTGCGGTTAAAAAGAACAACCTTATGCTTACTTGATTTTTCATCGTTCTTGTGCATTTGAGCGAATACGTCATGTGCTACTGAATGACCTTGCAACTCCCTCCCTATAGCTAGCTGTAGCCGAGCAACTCGCCACTCGTTGACCTTCCAATAAGACATTTCCACGATGACAGAAATAGGCATCGCTCGAAGACCCTTGTACACATTATTTATACTTTCTCCATGGTTGGTAGTTGCAATGCCCCATCTGGCCCCGTTGTCCATATGGAGCGTCCACATGGGCAACTCTTGACCTTCAGCCCATACTGCTCCAGCTCGGTGGGTCTGACGGATCGTTTTCATGATGTGCTCGTACTTTTTTGGTTGATGTGCAACCGCTAAAAGGTGAACAAAAGACTAACTGGTCAATACATGATGAATAACATCAGCTTATCAGCTTAATAAACACAAACTTAAATCGCATAAGAAAAACATTAGTACCTGCATTCCAAAGTAGATTTTTGATGTCTTTCTTCTTCCCAAATTTGTGTTGGAAATTGGCGAGCCAGTGTCGAATACACCATCTCCATCTCCACCCCCCACTCGTCGGTAAAACCACCAACAGCATTCCTTATCCCCCCATGTCGATCTGATATAATCGTAATATCTTCCCGCTGTGTCACGTGTTCGTGCAGTTGGTCAAAGAACCAATCCCAACTTAAGCTGTTCTCCCCTTCCACTAATGCAAATGCAAGAGGGAAAATCCGCCTGTTTCCATCAACGCCAGTGGCAATTAGAAGACATCCTCTGTACTTCCCAGTAAGGAAAGTTCCGTCAACCTGAATAAAAAATTAGGGTATAATTAGTATGAAATATACTTAACAGCAAATAATACAAAATTTAAAACCGGAACTAGTTGGTAAAGTACCTGAATAACCGGTATGCAGAACCCAAAACCGTCAATGCATGGTTTAAAAGCCCAAAAAAGACGATGGAACATCAGCTTATCCTGTACTCGAACTTGATCCTCAGTGTATACATTGTTGTATACTGGGACGAAAACAGTCCCAGGATTGGACTCCTCCATTGCTCCCATAAGTCTAGGGAGTAAAGCATACGAATCCTCCCAATCACCATACACCTCAGCCATGGCTTTCTGCTTACCATGCCATGCTTTTTTGTACCTTATCGTGTAAGAATGTCGATCCTTCACCTATGCCATGATAGCTTTCACCTTGATATCTGGTTGTGCTTCTATAAGGTGCTTAATAGTTCTCCCAACCTTCTTTGCTTTTAGTTGCCTGTGATCTTGGGAAAGTATAGAAGAGGAGCATGTGTGGATCGTCTCAGCTTTGCGAATCACCCAAGCACCCTTTCTCTTCATATTTGCAGCCCGCAGTTGCCACGTACAACCCTCTGCATCATGCTTGCATATGACATGTAGTTGTTTACTGTCAGAATATTTTACCTTCCACTCGAAATTGCGCCTCAACGCCTCTTCTGTAAAAGCATCCTGCACAGCGTCCTTCGATGTGAACGCCATACCCACCTCCAAATTGCCGTCGGATTGTACACTGGCATAGGGACAAAGTCGGGGGGATCATTCTGACTATGTAAAAATTGAGTTGGAACCTGTGTGTAATATGGCGTGGGTGCCTCACGAAATGCCGCCTCATCCTCGTTATCATCAGTATCTTCCTCCTCCTCGCTCACTGATATCAAATCTTCCTCAGTATCCTCGTCGCTCGACTCGAATGGATAGCTCGGGCTAGAAAGATCAACATGACCACGATCACCAACATCGTCCTCTCGCTCATGTGAAGTACGCCCTGATCGAATGGTATTCTCGATTCCATACCACTCTGGCCCCCAAGCAGGCCATTGAACTCCATCGGCCTCAACAAATGGGGCTGGTTTAGGAGGTTGCGAGTATTGGTCCCATCCTGCACTACTCGATCCACCGTAGTTGATTGAACCACCACCCTCCCCGTAACCTCTTGTATAACCACCGCCTTGGTAGTTGCTCGAACTACCACCCCATTCGTACCCTCCTGCAAAACCATCATCATAAGAATACTGGTGAGAATGAGATTCACCGAGCGCCTCGGTCTCAACATACACCTCTGCAAGCCGGACTTGGTTATCGCTTAGGAACTGTAACATCATCATAACCGCGTCATCATCGTTTATGACAACTTCTTGGAACACGACCCCGCCAGCACTCATGTCTGGATACCGGTAAGTAATTTTGCCAAGTCTCGTATGTCCGCTCGTACAAACCCTTTCTGCACAAAGATCACAGAGTTCTTGAAAATTGAATCGGGATTCAATTTTCAGCATAATGGATTCGCCGTCCTCATAATCAATGCCTATGTCAGAGTTTGTCACCCTTCCATTCCACCGAATAGTAAGATGAAACTTCTTGAATTTACCCATATCTACAATTTACAATAAGTATCTATTAGCTTAAAGACAGTAAAATTAACCAAAATCATATTGCACAACTAATATTAAATCATACCATAACTAACGAAAATAAATTCAACTAACTAACAACAACATAATACGAAAATTAAATCATACTATAACTACTAAAAACATAATTAGACTATAATACGAAAAGTCTCAACATACCGAAAAATTTCTGTTCTGTGTATTATGCTCGATTTTGGCTGCTGAAATTTGAAGAAAGGGGAGTGGTTATGTTTTTACAACTGCTGTTGGTGTGCTATTTATAGGAAAATCTGCCTACTATTCACCGTTTTTGTCGAAAACGGTGAACACCATCACCGCGTTTGTCTCAAACGGTGAATAGGTGGTAGCTGTGACCTAATTTTGACCTACCAGGAGTGGGAAACGTGGGAAATGATCACCGTTTTTGACCAAAACGGTGAGGCTTTCACCGTTCTTAACAAACGGGGTGAACCCTTCACCGTTTTAGTTTAAAACGGTGAATACATCACCGTTTTTGTTTGAAACGGTGAATACATCACCGTTTTAGTTTGAAACGGTGAAGTATTCACCGTGTTCTTCAAACGCGGTGATGACCTTTACCGCCTTTATCTAAAACGGTGATGGTCAAACATGTGTACTTTGGGAAATTTTTTTATCTCATGTATTTTGGGAATTTTTTTTAAGAACGTGTGTACAGTGGGATTTTTTCCCAAACTACCAACCATTTTTTTATAGAAGTACCAACCAATTTGTCTCTTAAATATTTCTCATTTCGAAATCAAGAGGGTAATTTAGTCAAATCAACCAACATTCTCATAAATAAATAATCTGAAAACCCCAAATAATATCTACAGGGTGGCTGGAGTGGACCCTGTGGCCAGTGATAGCCTGTAAACCCAGAAAGGTGCTCTGCTCCCTCTCCCTCTCCCTCTCTCTCTGGTTTTCCTTTTCCATTTTCCTTTTGGCAGAGTGAGTGATGAATTTATAGCCAAAAACATTTACACAGCCAGCCACACAGCTGCAGAGCAGCAGCCTGGTTTACCAGAAGTGGAATAAAGAAAAGAAAGCAGCAAAAAATTAACACAACGAGACAAATCACCCAAATGCTCTGTTTTCTGCTTGCTTCTCTTCCTTCCTCCTCTCCCCCCTTCCATCTCCTTTACACAATAACAGCTTCCTTTCTTCATAGCCATTATTCTCATTCTTTTCTTCCTCCATTTCCTTCCTCCAAAACGCACCTGAAACTCTCGTCTTTCACCTTATTGATTCAGAGTTTCTCTCTCTTTTCTTGCTTTCCCCTGTTTTCGATGATCCGCCATGGCCTCCTCAGCGTCAATTTACTGCTGAAATCCTGCTGCTTGCTAACTTAAATCTCAGACCCTTTCCCTGCTGAGAAGCAATTTACCCTCACCGTTCTCTTCGCCTCCAATTTCTCCTCTCGATCTCGAATTTCCCACTTCCAGCAAAATGAATCACTTGATCCTTCTACTGCTCATGATCCCCCTCCCATGGCTTCTCAAAACCCAATCCCTCTCTACCCTTCCCAACCCATCACAGCCCATGAACTGTACGGACACAACCCGCCTCTGCACATCTTTCCTGGCCTTCAAACCATCCCAAAAGGCCCAAGCTTTGCCACTCGTCCAGAGCATGTTCGACGTTTTGCCTCGAGACATAACCGTGGAAGGTGGGTCCAGCGACTACGTGTTTGTGAAGAAGAACTGCTCTTGCTTGTCCGACGACAGAGTCTACGCCACCAGCACGACGTACACGGTGAAATCCGACGATGGCTTGGTTCACGACATTGTGTTGGGCGCCTACGACGGGCTGGCTCTGGTACCCAACACCACAAGGAGCGCTAGGGCTGGAGCTGTGGTGTCGGTGAGGCTGTTTTGCGGCTGTTCCAGTGGGTTGTGGAATTACTTGATGAGCTATGTGATGGAGGAAGGTGATTCAATTGAATCTTTGTCTAGTAGGTTTGGTGTTAGCATGGCGAGTATTGAAGGTGTTAATGGAATCAACAGCCCTGAAAATATCACGGTTGGTGCTGTCTACTATGTCCCTCTCAACTCAGGTTAGTGTCGAGTTCAATTCAGGTGCTGGATTTTTGCCTCTGTGAATAGATTTTGCATTGCAGTAGAGCTGAATTTGGGAAGACCATATGCTTCTGAAATTAGTGCTGGCATTGGTGTGTTTTCGGGGGAATCTTGTTTTTTGCATGAATTCATGGATCTAGTATCTAGTCACAGGTTTCAAATCCCCAAAAGCTATTGTCTATTATCTTTGAGAGATCACTGAAGATGATGAGAGGGCCATTGCATGTGCACAATCATCGGTTTTGGGTAAGCTTTAATGAGCTGTCAGCAGAAAGCAGTGAAAACAACAGCTAATGAAGTGGATAATTAAATGTCCAAATTGCCTTTTATTAAACTATACAGAAATGGTAATCAAACCCCTTTTGCTGATATCCCTTTTCATACTGATCTTGTTCCTTGACCTATGTTCCTTCAATTGGATATAGGCATAGTGGATTTCAATTTTTCGTCATCATAGTTTAGACAGATCATGTTGATTGTTGTCTTGTACTTTGTGTTTGTGCTCTGTCTTCTAAGCAAGTCAAATTTGCTGGTTTTAGTTCCCGGTGAGCCTTATCCTGTGGAGAGCGTTGTTCCTCCTGCGTCTGCTCCTTCCTCTTCTGCTGTCAACTCGTCTGCTTCAGGTACAGGTTTTGGTATTCCAGGATTGGCTAAGCACTATGAACTACTATAATCCTGAAGGTCCTATAATCATAATGACTTGTTGCCTTGTGCGTGTTTTCAGACAGTCCAGGGAAACAGAAGGGTCATGTATCATATGCTTGGATCATATTGGGTCTGGGGATAGCCCTCGTTGCAATCGTGTTACTGATTGTGATTTTTGCCTGCTTCAAGTGTTCGAGCTGCTGTTCTAAAGATCAAGAGAGCCATCATGCCACAGACTCTGGTGCTGGAAAGGTGGTCTCTCACAAGTTTCAAATTCTAAGGAAGCCGAGTTTCTGCTGTGGTTCAGCTCGATACACAGGAGGAGGTGGTGCTGCCAACTCGGAAGAGTGGAAGCAAGCTAACGGCGAGTCTAGTAGCCATCATCACGTCACCATACCTAGAGGTCTTGAGAAAAAAATATCCCAATTCTGTGTTCTTTTGTTGTCTGGACAACTGCAAAGTTCTTATAATCCGGCTCTTTATGATGCTTTTCTTACAGGTTTGGCAACTGATGTATTCGACATGGAGAAGCCGGTGGTGTTCACGTATGAAGAGATTCACTTTGCAACAGATGGATTTGCCGATTCGAGTCTCATTGGACATGGAACTTATGGTTCAGTTTATCATGGCAACATTCCAGACCAGGAAGTGGCTATCAAGAGAATGACTGCAACAAAAACCAAGGAATTTTTGGCAGAGATGAAAGTTCTCTGCAAAGTCCACCATGCAAACCTGGTACTTAACCTTTGACCTTGCTTTGTGGTTTTCTAACTGCTTTTGCATTGATTAGAAAGCTTTTGACACCGATTATCTTATTTCACGTTGTCAAGGTAGAACTGATCGGATATGCAGCTACCAATGAAGAGCTCTTCCTTGTTTATGAATATGCGGAAAAGGGTTCTCTCAGAACCCATTTGCATGATCCTCACAAGGGTAATTAAAGACAAAGACCTCGTGGATGCTCTGCTGATGACAAGCTCTTAATAATGCTAAGTAAATTTAATTGGCTCACAGGTCATACGATGCTTTCTTGGATCATGAGACTCCAGATCGCACTGGATGCAGCTAGGGGCCTCGAGTATATCCACGAGCATACAAAAACACACTATGTTCATCGTGATATCAAGTCCAGCAACATCCTACTTGATGGTTCCTTTAGGGCCAAGGTTCTTGTCCATTATCGGCTATTATTATAAATCCTCTGTTCTTGAACATTATAGGCTATTATTACAACAAATTTACGTTGTGATCAGATTTCAGATTTCGGATTGGCCAAACTAGTTGGAAAAGCAGGCGAAGGTGAAGCCACAGTAACCAAAGTTGTAGGGACCTACGGTTACCTGGCTCCCGAGTAAGTTTTGGCGAATACTCCCTCAACTGTGTCACTTCTACATGCGTTGCTATCTCAGGATGCAGCTTCTGTTAACCCGCTTGTTTTCTCGCAGGTACTTGAGTGATGGTCGTGCCACTGCCAAGAGCGATGTGTATGCATTTGGCGTCGTCCTTTTCGAGCTCATTTCTGGTAAGGAGGCTGTCATACGAAGCGATGGTGCTGCATCAAAAAACCCTGATCGACGCTCTCTGGCATCGACGATGCTTGCAGCGCTACGAAGTTCACCCGATTCCATGACCATGGCAAGCTTGAAGGATCATATTGATCCTAACATGATGGATTTGTACCCCCATGATTGTTTATTCAATGCAGCCATGCTAGCGAAACATTGTGTCGATGAAGATCCCATGCTAAGGCCGGACATGAAGCAGGTAGTGATCTCCTTATCGCAGATTCTCTTGTCATCCATTGAATGGGAAGCCACTCTTGCTGGAAACAGTCAAGTTTTCAGTGGCCTTGTCCAGGGAAGATAGAGTTAGATAAAGTAAAAAGGACCTATTTCTGCAGTCCCACTTCACTTAATTTTATGTGCATAATATGTACCGGTTGAGGCCTCCTTTTGTAGAACAGAGAAAGCAAATTTGAGTTGGTTAACGAGCTCGAGTTATCTCTAAGGCTGAGGGAAGATTCATCTCACGCTTGGCCTAATTTCTTGTGTTGATTAAAGAGTCTTATGATCAAGTTTAGAACTGGACAGTGACTCACTCCATACAGGACCTAAGCAAAACTACATAGATCAAATCGCGAACCGAATCGATTGTAACTCGATCCTGTTTTCCCATCTCCAACAGCATGTTAAAAGTGTCCTACAGAGATCATAACAAAAAGAAGCAACTTTATTTGTTCACTGTGTAAGCATATTCTCCAGACATTACAGAGATAGTACACGATCGCCATTACTTGACGAGTGAAGCTAGAACTCGTCGAGGCGGGATGAAAGATTTCCGGGCATGAAGAACAGCCCAGTTATCAATCAGAAGAACATCGCCTTTCTTCCAAGGGATTGCAACACTTTCCTGTTCCAAAATGTTCAAACAATCATGGATGATATCTCCGGGCAATGGCGTCCCATCACCGAAGGTGACAGCCTTCTTCGGGTCATTCCTTTCATCTTTCCATCCCGTGTACGCAGCCACCATGCTGTTGAACCATATCTTCCGATTCCCCCTAGACTCGTCCGTCTTCACTGCCGGAATCGGTCCCATTATAGTCTTCACTCCATCTTCCAACCATTCCAGCTTCATTCCTAGCTTCGCTGCCCTGTTCAGAGAATCAAACCCAAACAAACAAAATAATAAAAAAGATGTTTCCTTTTAGACGGAAAAGCATTTCTCCGCCGCTGGGTTTACTGATCACGAACCTTTCCTCTGCCACATCCTTATCTTCGGTCAAGAAAGTGGATTTCCAGCCACGGCCGATTGGGGAATTAGGGTTGTCTTTCTCTCCCAACACTCTGTTGTAGATCAACCCCTGTTTCTCCAATTGCCGGACGAATTCCGGGTACTTCTCTCTCATCTTCTCGTACACGACGTGGCTGAGAACGATCGGAGTCTCGCCGCCGGTTGTAGGCTCCACTTCGCAGAAGAAGAACAGCTTTGACGGGAACTCAGGCACCTGCCCAAAAAAAAGGAGTAATCAACGGGGAAAAAAAGAAAACAGAGGATTGAAAATTTAACATCCAATTTTGTTTTTGAACTTCCGGCTGACCTGGGCCATCTCGTGGTGGAAAGGGATTTTCTGGTCAGGAGGGGACTCATTGGCAGTAAAGACGCGGCCGACGACGTTGGTCCGGGGAGCGGCGCCGCCGACGTAAGGGAGCTCCTGGAAGCCGAACGATTCGACGACGCCGTTGAAATCGGAAGCAGAGGAGACAGGGAATCCCCTGAAGAGAATCGCACCCGATTTGAGGAGGAGGGATTCGAGGAAGGGCTTCTCGGATTTCACGGCGGAAGTGAGGAGATCGAGTGGTGATGATGATGAATCAGGAGAATTTGGAGTCAGGACGGCGGGGAAAGGAACTGAATCGAATATTTTCTGCTGCGGGAGCTGGAACTCCTTGAATAGCGTCATCGCCATCTGCTGGGTGTGTCGGCTGTTTCTCTCGGATGGGGGCGGGAAGAATAGAGGCTTGTGGTGGGTAGTGAGTAGTGAGTAATTATAAACCGGCGATCGAAGCTCTGTGTCTGCAGCGGTGTGAACTGTGATCCTTCACGGTGGCGGCAAGTCTTGAGATAGGTGAATGTGGTGTGAAACAGCGTCCAAGTTCAGTCTCGTGCTAGTCTGGAATTTCGGACTCTGGACTCAAGTCCCACGGGACTGGGCTTTCCGTTTTAGCAAAATATTGCGCTATCCCACTTTTCCTTTTCTGAATGAATGATCAAAATAATTAGGGTAAATACAATAAATTACTCACAACTATAACGAAGCGGTAAATTATAACCATAATTATGAAAATACAAATTATTGACCATAACTATTATTGTGCGTAAATGAACAGTTAACAGTCCGTTACCGTTATTAACTTTGTAACGGAAAAGGCCACGTCAGCAGTCACATCATCTTCCACGTCAGATTAATTTTTATTTATAATTTTCAAACATTAAAAAAAACAATGGAGGGTCAAAGCCCCCTCATCTTCTTCTTCCCCAGCCACATCCCGACCTTCTTCCCTCCTCCACCTCGCTGCTGCTTCTTCACTCCGATTGAATCCCTCCCGCCTCAATCCCTCCCCAGTCGTTCCCTACCGCGTCCGCCGCTGCCAGCCCTTCGCCGTCGCCTTCTCGCAGTCGAATCCCTCCGCCTCAATCCCGCTTCTTCCCTCCGATCGAATCCCTCTCGCCTCAATCCCTCCCCAGTCGTTCCCTACCGCATCCGCCGCTGCCAGCCCTTCCTCGTCACCTTCAATTCCTTCTCGCAGCCGCATCCTCATTCCATTCCTTGCCAGGTCTTCTTCGATTCCAATTGTCATCGCCACTGTCCCCTACTTATCCTCCTTCGAGCAGACGTTGCCTCCGTCCACTGCTGGTCTTCTCGACGCATGATCCTCTTCCCATATCGCAGTCTATGTCTGTTTAATCGGCGTGGCAGAGGGTGGATGGCAGCTACGGGAAGGGTGGATGGTGGCAAAGGGTTTTCTAGGGAAGAAGGTAGGGAGGAGGTAAAGCGTTGACGGATCTGGTGACTGGCCACAGAGGGAAGAATGTCTTTTTTCTTTTTTCCTTTAATTTTTTAATTATTTATTTTTAATTAAAATTAAAAAGATGGTATGATGACGGGCCACGTGGGAGCCTACTCAGTATTGTAAAGCTTAGTCAGCATTACTAACGAAATTGTTAACAGATAGTTAACGTTTGGCTAATAATTTCTATTTCGATAGTTGTGGCTATAATTTCCTGCTTGGGTGGATTACCAGGAAGCTAGAACAAGGCCATTTCGTAACTTCCTGAATAGAAGTGGTTTTTTGGACGTGGGTTTTACGGGACCCCGTCCTACTTGGAAGCGAGGCAATCTACTTCAAAGGCTTGACTGGGCGCTTTCTAATAAAAGTTGGTTGCACAAATTCCCGGAGAGTTTGAACTTATACTTTGAGAGAATTGGATCTGATCATTGCCCCTTATTAGTGCGGTTAGGGGTGGGCAACGAGAAACGAGTATTTGGGTATACCTATACCCGTCTCGTTTTTTGAGGGTTACAGGTACCCAAATACCCATTTTATTTTTAATGGGATGGAATTTGGGATCAATGATATCTACAACGGGTACCCACGGGTTACCCGTTAATACCCGTTTGGGTAATACGGGTACCTGTAATACCCGTAATACGCATCTTCATTCTACTTCTTTTGAGTACAGAGCGAAGATTGAGGCAAAAAGAAAGGGAATGAGTTGCTGTCTACATACAGGTTGAAGGCAAGGGACCCCATTTATGAGGCTTCAAAATGGTGAAGAAGCTGAGGAAAAGAGGAAGCAAATGATCAATGTGTGCTCCCAACTTCCTCTCTACATGTTTAATGAAGCTTCTCATTAGCAAGCTATATATCATAAATCATCATTTTTTCTTCTTCCTAACTTTGTTATCAAAAGACTCATTTCTTTAGCAGCAACCAGTAGTCAATGTGCTCATGGATGAACTCTGTTACTCAAATATAAAAGATGAAGATAAAATGGAAATGGAAGGAGCAATAGGGACAAAACTCGAAAGATATAGGGGAGGATGCAAGACAGGGGAAGAGATATATTATGAATAATTATAACATAATATTGTATTGATTTGGAGTTGTTTCTACCCCACATATAATCATCTTTCCCAATTAACATTATGTTTAATTTTGTGCAAAACGGATTTGATACGGGTAGTTTGGGTACCTGTTATCCGTCTCGTACGGGTAACGGGTACCCATTAACCCTTATGGGTTTGGGACATGGGATGGACTTTGTCCTTCAAATGGTATTGGGTACTCTTTTCAAACGGGATGGGTATCCCGTCCCGTTCCGTTAGCCACCCCTAAGTGCGGTCTGCACCTCAAATGGGTTCGAAGAGGAATCGTCCTTTCAGATTTCAAACGGCTTGGCTGGGGCGTGAGGATTTTGCCAGGGTGATAGAGGAGTCGTGGAGCCTAGCGTCACTACTGCCGGTTTCACTTACGCGCCTCACGGAAGCTCTGAGGGTGTGGAACAAACAGGTCTTTGGTAATATTTTTCACAGAAAGAAGGTTTTAATATCTAAGTTGCGTAAGCTGGAAATGGACAACAAGCATCATAGCACTGATCGATCGGTTGCTCTAGAAGACTCCAGCCGGAAAGAGCTGGAGCGAACTCTCTGAGAGGAACACTTGCTATGGGTTCAGAAATCGAAGACTAGGTGGGTGAATGATGGTGATCGGAACACCCGATTCTTCCAACTGACTACCCTAAAGAGGCGGAGATTCAATAGGATCGCGACTCTTCGATTAGAGGATGGAACGTGGGTTCAGGATGAGTCTCTTCTGCAGGACATGGCTCGAACTTTCTATGTCGACCTCTACACCGCCGAGGAGGGCTCTGCTCCATGGATCCCAGCGCTGTTTGCCAAACTCGAGGAGACGACGGCGAGATCTATGAAGCACGGATTCATGTTGGAGGAAGTGAGGCAGGCGGTGATGTGTATGGGGAGTCTGAAAGCTTTAGGGAAAGATGGGTATCAGCTTGTGTTCTTTCAGAAATGTTGGTCTATGGTTGGTGAGGCTCTTTTCCGGTTTGTGGTGGATTGCTTTGTGAATCCAATGCAGATTGGGTTCATCAATGAGACTCTGTTGGTGTTGATCCCGAAGAAAGAGAGCCCAGAGTACATTGCCTATTTTTGGCCGATTGGTTTGTGCAATGTGGTGTATAAAACCTTGGCCAAATGCATAGTCAACAGAATCAAACCTCATATGAGGCGCCTGGTGCATCCTACTCAAACTTCCTTTGTCCCGGGTCGGCACATCATTGATAATATTATTATTGTGCAGGAGGTGGTTC